TAAGTTGTTATATGTTAAAACATTATTGAAACATGAGTTGAACATCCCTGACGATCGGTTTGGTACTATCGAAGAAAAGGATTTGAAATCCTTCAAAATCTCATTTTTTAGGGTGTGGTTATGGATATTGGTACTGGTGTGAGTCTTCACTTCACAGACACGCTGCATCTACGCCCAAACATCAACATCCACACCCATAATTACAAGCTAGTTTGAGTCGATTGAACATTAGTAATTGTTGCTGGGCTTCCACTTCGCCTCTTTTTCTGAAGAATTAGGCTTTTAAAGGAAGCAATCATAATGTTGATCAATTTAAACGAATCGGTACACTTATTACACATATAGTCAAGAACAAGATCGAAAATATTCCTTGCGGGCACATGTTGAAAACCAGATGGCCACCCAATATGAATTCGAAACTTTATAAAACATTTTTAGCTTGATACTTGATCGACATAGTTAAAAGTAATTTGGATTGCAGCTAATGGGTATGAGTGTTGCATTCAATCCACACCCACGCCCACACCCGGCAACTTGGTTCCGATTTTAGTCCCATTGGGATGGGGATTTATAGCGCTTCAAACTGGTCTGGAAGCATTCTTTCTTATCAAGAACTCGACTACGTATTTTCATACTTATTATTTCGTTGTACCTAAGAATCCGCATATCGGAAAATTTTATTTATGACTCCAATAGAAAGATTGAGGGTGTGGGTGCATTTAAAACGAATACTCACAACTCACATCCACAACCTGATCAAGGCTCTGAGGAAAAGTTGTGTAACTCTTGAACGGAACATGCTCGAAAGTTGGGACTTATGTGAATCGGTAAAAATTAGCCAGCTCGGACAATACGGCACGTATTCGGCTGACACACGGCAATTTTCGGTCTGGAAACCGTGGCCATATACGGTAGACTGTATTATGACTCGATTACGGTATAATACGGCGCGATATACGATGTTCGTATACGGTGCTAGGTAAGCGGACCGTAATCGACCGCCGCATATGTGCCGTATCAGTACTGTACCATGAAAGTGTGGTATACGGTAAACTTTTACATGATTTAACTAAACCCCCAACACATTAGAAGACCCGTGGCTTTCTATTTTGTCTTATCGTTGACATGTTACAAGGGGAGTCTTCTAATATGTCCCTTAAAAGAAGCTATTTTTTGGCAGTATCACCAACAAATCTTGGCTTCAGTCAATTTTCGCCCAATATATAGTTAGTAAGCGAGTTTGTTTTATTTATTCCTCGTGCGTAGAATGAGAAAGAAGCATATATTCCCTTGTGAAGAGGAAGGAGACCATCTTTAGTAAGAAGTGTTCTTAAAACAGTACATGCAACACTCCCTAACAGCTTGGTACAATGTCCAATAAAATTCTTTTTTCTAAAGATTTCTATTGTCACTGGCAACATTCAACCTTCTAAATAACTAAATAACTGAAAAAAGAAAATGACATTCTTTTTTGTCAAATTTACTTAAGGCAGTTGTTTATGTTGAGGTTTGATTAGTACAGATGGAATTAGTTCAGATGAAATCTACCACCAACATAGTTATTGCTCGTAAGCTAACTTCGATGAATACGATCTTCGAAGTGCATACGTGAAGTTAGGTTTCTTTCAATTATAAAAATCTGTTTGTGAATAAAGACGCTTCTGAATCTCTAGAAGAAATTTATAGATAAAGAAGCTTTTTAATTAATACAAAACGAAATATTATCTAATATGTTACTAGTTTACAAAGATCTCTTCATGTGCTACACCTGCGAATGTGGACTCAACCCACTAGATCGTACGGTCATAGAAAGGTTTTTCCACATATAGAAATTAACGAATTTTCTCAGAATTAGCTGCAAAGAAGGATTTAAATGGCTCCACGATGTGTTTTCAAAAGAAAAAATGTATTATTTTATAAACTGTTGTTTTCTATTAGCTGTTTCTCATCATTTTTCTAACTCGAAACTGACACATCGTTATCTCGACGAATGAAAAATATTGTTCATACTGAACTTAAACATCATTATGGGTTTAAATTCTAAAATAGTCGCTAGTCTCTAGAAATTATTTAACAAAACATCGAATTTGTGAGAAGGGTCTTCTAATATGTCTTTTGTTTCATTTACCAAAGGGGGGGGGGGGTCTTGTATTATAGGGAATCTTCTAATGTGTTGGGGGTTCACGCCAGATTCATGTTATATTGAGGTAGTGCATGAATTCCATAATTTGGTTTCATGAGATGCTGCAATAGCAAGTATTATTTTAATATATGTGTTGTAATTTGTTTAGACTATTCGCAACCACAATTTCTATGATAAATACGATCTTAATATATTTATATGTTATATTTTTTTATCTATACAGGGTGTCCAAAAAGTCTCTTCCACTTAAATTTTTCGTATATCTTTACTATTTAATTTGACTTTATAAACTATTCTTTTAAATGATAGGTGGATACACCGAGTTTTGATTTATACAAACAAAGTTCAAAAGTACTGTTCAAAGCAAAGATCTTTAATCGAAATACAAAACTTTACACTGTTTTCTAATTCCAGAAAAACTCATGGATGATGTCTGTTTTAGTTGCTTGAATTTTGACTTGATACCATTCAATTTGTTTTTGTGGAAACAATAAAATAAAATTCTATGGAAAGACTGTTCAAGAACCGAAGAATTTAAAGTTTTAAATCACTCAATAACCCGAAGCGACTAAAAGAGAAATGTTGTGTAATGTTTTTCTGGAAATAGAAAACAAGCTAAATTTTTGTACTTCGATTAAAGATCTTTTGCTTTGGACAGTACTTTTGAATTTTGGGTGGGGTGTGCGTGTGCGTGCGGATCTGCATCTAGAGCGGAAAAACATCCACACTCACGCTCACATACTGACCATTATCTTAGGATGCTCCCGTTTTGCTCCTAAACCTGCACTAATTTGAAAACAAATCTGATATTGGTGCGGATTTGGAAGGTGTGCATTTGCGCATGTGTCGGTTTTACACCCACATCCAAACCCATACCTCACGCCCACACCCATCTCACACCCCACACTCACACCCCACACTGGCACTCTCCTTCTCTACGTATGTTCTAATCGGCAAAGAATAAATTCAAAATAGAATCCATTTTAGATATCTTAATTGATAAACTAATAAGAACCTCTGCAGAATGGGATATGTTCAGAAAAAAATAAAAATGGGACCAATGTGAGGGGCACTCAAAAACAGTACTAGAGTTCTTTTCGGAGATGCTCATCAACTGTTTGACGTGGTGATCATTTGCATTGAATGTTTCCAGACGCCTAAATAGGTATTGCTGGTCCGTATTCTGCAATCATTTTAACAAGTTGAACTCCTACAAACGTTCCTGTCTGATCGGATTTTGCAACCTCTGTGTCATCTGCATATAAAATGACCAAGTTAGTTGCGTAGGAGACCTCGATGTCTCCATCCTAGGCTAGTAATGCTGCTGTTAATTGTGAATTTTCCGGTATATGTGCTTCTAATGTGTGATCACGTGTGGTGTCTGTAGTCTTCGTTTGGTCACAGTTGAATCCAAATGTATAAGTACTACTTAATTCTACTGACAAGCCAGCAAGCTTGGGAATTGGACTCTTTAAAGACACAGTCACGCCGTACTGAAATAAAAATATGGAAGATAACAATGAGCTTCGATCCTCATGACAGCAACACTATTGAATTTAGTCTAATGAAGTGCGTGCTTCTGCAAAAGACATATCATCAGACAAAGAAAAAATATTTTTAAAAGAATACCAACTTTTACCATTTTTTCAGTGAAGTGCTATATCAATGAGTCAGCATAATAAGAATAAAGACTAGTACCAGTTTCGTCGATAATCAGTATACTGGTAACGGCAAAGTTACTGTTACTGGGTCACTGGTAACAGAAGAAGTTACCCGTTACTTTCTACGGGTAACTTTTTAGAAAGACGAATTATGATTTCCATTCGACCAAATATGGTTAATAAATCACTTTTTCAATTAGAGAGTTACCAAGTAACTCCTAACTTTATTAAATGATGTATTGACAGTATTGGATCGAAAGGAAGTCATAATTCATCTTTTTAAAAATTTACCCAGAAAAGTAACGGATAACTTCTCTCGTTGCTAAGTAATTGATAACATTAACTTCCCACCTCTAACTGGCACTGATTGATCCCTAATTGCGACTGAAAATGAATATGCAATAATGGTTGAACTTTTGCTTATCTAAGACATAGTTATAAACTGAACTAACTGATGAATGCTATACTCTTTCATTAAAGCTTCTCTTACCTATAATTGATTTGTCATAGTCCACATCTCACTTTCAATAGTTGTAACTTTATGTGTATAAGATATTTTCTGTCATATCGGTGAACGATTAATAAGTGTGGTTGAGAAGACAAATGTCGATTTTTCTTTCGATATTTGTTTTACTTGGTTTAAATCATAATTTAATGACGTCATCATATATTTTACCTCTTCACGAATCCAATGGAATTGAATTTGATCTAGATAACGATAAGATCAACCACTTATATAGGACATAATATAACCTGGATGGTACTCGGCAAATCGTCTACCACTTTTACCACCGCAATAAGAGTTTATTCGTCCCTTATTAGTTATAAATTGTAGAGCATCAACGAATTTGTCAGAAGCACCTGTAACATTTACGATTCTCTCGTCAAGATTTAATTCGAATCTGCAATATTCTCCACCGAGTTCACCTCTTATTGGCGCTTCACGTAGATCTTTCTCATAAGTTTGATACGTAATCTGAATGGAGTCCACCCACGCAGCTTTCGTAATATTGATTGATTTAGGAGTAGTCCAACCCGTTGTACCAATAGTATCCAGATCGTTGAGAATGGGCCGCCTCCATTTCCCCCATATGCAGGTTCAGTTAATATATCCTGATTTGCTAAATAGAAAAAAAACAAAGTATACAATAATTGTAGACTGTTGAATTGATTAATATATTATCAAAAGAAAACAATCATTCATAGAACATATTACGGTTGTATAAACGTGAAGTTGAAACAAGTGCTTTGGCTAATTTTACAGGTTGTGCTACATGTACAGTTGCATTTGCCTAAAACAAACGGCAAACAAAATAAACCTGTACGTTCAAGTCAGTCATTAATGTCCAAAATGCGAATAAGAATACAATAAGTGATTCCAAGTGTTAGAAAAAATTATTTCGTAGCCTAATCCAATTTACTTCGTGCACTTCGAAAAAAAACCTCTTTAACACTTCTGTAACATGCAGTTAAAATGTTTATCGTTATTAAAATGATCTTAGTATTCTATGTTACATCTAAATTTTATCAGTCTTTTGACATGTCTATACGAACTTCATATAAATATCCTCTTTTCTGGAATGAATTAAAACGAACAAACAAATTATCCACGAAAGTTAATAAGTATGACAAATTTTCTAAATATTTTAAACACATTCGAGACGATGGAACTCATTGGTGAATTCCACTATATTTTAATAAGAAACTTAATAGAAAAATACACTCTTTTGCTTTTGTGAAACACGATCTGAAAGGAGTGTTGAAGTGTTTAGGGTAGAAATTTTGGACCCACTCCCCCCCCCCGCCCCCCCCCCCCCCCCCCCCCCCCGCGGGGACAAGGCCCAACCCCCAGCCCCCCGCCCGCGA